CGCGTGCCACCTGCGGCACGCGGGGTGCATTTGAGCGGCACGGGAGGCTGCCACCCGCTCTACACTGGGGGAAAGCAGAGAGGAACTTGCGTGGCGGCGGAACTTCCAGCATCGCAAGAACTTGCGATCTGGAGTTCCGCCTATTAGGCTGTTCTTACCACGGCTCCAATGACGTCCGCAACTGTGTGCACGGCCTCCAGCCCTCCCACTCTGTCAGTAGCATCCTCAGCCCCACCTCCTACCTAACTTTAAGCCTCGTCCCCTGCCTAACCTTAAGCCCCGCCTCAAGCCCAGGCTTCAGCCCTGCCTCCAGCCCTCCATGTTAGCAGCATCCTCAGCCTGGATGACTTATTTACAGGTCAAATCTGTGTGGGGGCTTTTTGTTTATATGAGCCAATCAGAAGCAGTAGTGATCATAGGGGTCACTTCTGCAGCTGACTTGTCTCACAAAATCAGATTGCCTTGTCCCTTGTGTCTGACACTGCTACTATCCTTGTGTCTGCTACTACCACTTCACTGTTTGCCTGTCAGTCCCTAACCCTGAATACTATCAGGTAAATTGCCTTAATTTACCAGGTGCCAGTGACACACTATTTATGTTACAAATACATGTTCATCAGGGCATAAAGGGATGGTCCCCTGGAGCTTGCAATCTAACTTAAGTTAACTTTACTGTGATATGAAAAACTGTCTGTATCAGACTGTCCATTTATATCACATAAATGTTAACTTGTGTTAGATTGCAAGCTGTACAGACCATTCCCTGTATGCCCTGGTCTCTATATGTAAAGGCTTGAGGGAATGGCCCCAAATGCTTGCAATCGAAGTCAAGTACAGAATGCAAACTGAAATGCTAGTTAGATTGCAAACTCTTGGAGCCATCCCTGCATTGTGAGAGACTAGGAGAGATCAGTGAAGTGTGACCAGTAGGCTCAGCAACAATGTGTCACATCACACTCCACCATCCACCCACACAAACCACACTCAGCTGCCCTGCCACATCGCCAAAACCCACACACAAATCACACTCAGCCAACCATACACACAACAGCTACCCCTAGGACACATACATCACAATCAGCCACACAATACACAGACATGTTTTACATAATTCCACACACAGTAGTAGAACACTGATGCAATCTGAACCACATAACTGAGATGCTATGGAGCTCTGTGATGAAATTATGCACTCACTTTGATTTTATGGGGCCCAGGAGCTGGCCGGATGTGGGCCCCAAGGGGCAGGCAGCCAGTTGCTTTCCAGGCAGGCGCCGTTTAGTTATGCCGGCATCACTAAGCTAAGTGGCGCACGAGGGAGCTGAGTAAGATGATCACAGTTCCCTCACTGCCTACTTTGCGAGTCCGCCTGCCTTCCTGCATGCCTGCTCGCAACCTCATCTGCCTGCCCGCCCAGCAGCCCCACTGGACCCCAGGTGAATAATCCACCCAGCCTCCTTACTGTTGGGGGAGCTGGGTGGATTAAAATAAAATAAAAAATAACAACAATTTGTGAGTGTTTGGGGAAAATGTGTGTTTTTGTTAGTGAATGAGTGTGTCTGTCAGCGAATGTGTGTGTGTTTCTCAGTGTGTCTTTGAGTTTGTCTCTGAGTGAATGTGTGTGTGTGTCTGTCAGTGAGTTTGTGTCTGTCTGTCAGTAAATGTTTGTGTGTGTATCTGTGAATGTGTATGTCAGTGTCTGTGAGTGTCTGTCAGTGAATGTGTGTGTCTTAGTGAATGTGCTTGTGTGTCAGTGCATGTGTGCGCCTGTCAGTGCATTTGCGCGCCTGTCAGTGTGTGTCTGAGTGTGTGTGAGTGATTGTGTGTGTCAGATTGTGTCAAATCAGTGAGAGTGTGTGTGTGTGTATGTCAGTGTATCTGAGAGTGTGTGCTTGTCCGTGAGTGGGTGTGTCAGTGTGTGTCTGTCAGTCAAAATGCGTGTTAGTCTTTAACAGGAAGAGGTGTCACCTTGGCAGGAAGGGGTGGGGCAAATTTAAATTAGGGGTTCCTGAATTCCTCATGCCTAGGGCAAATCCAAAATACACCACTGGATACATTAAATATGCTCCGTATCACTGTACTAATCTCTGGTATGGCGTGAGATGGAAGCATAGTTCTGTCTCCTCTGCATCATCATTGGAGGCCGGGTTCCTTGGGACCAACCTGCTCTGCTAAATGGTGAGAAAACCAATTAGTAGTGATGAGGATCCTGGCACCCACAGACTCCAGGCAACATAACCACTTAGATACATAGAAATGGTTATGATTGTTGTTTTTGGGGACCCTGCTGGGCCCTGCCACATTCTAAATCGATATTGCAGTAGCCCTAAATTGGGTTTACCCTCCTACTGGCGACAAGCGGTGATTGTGGCTGACACGGTCCTAGAGGGGGCTTCGAGCATATTGTGGCTTGGTGTGCACCAGGGAAGGGAGAGGCAACTGATCTCCCGCCTTGAGCAGCCTGTGCTGAGGCTTGGCTCTACCTCTCCCCTTTGGTCCGGTGGGGGTAATCCCGGTCCGTTCCCAGGAGATTTTTCAGGGAACTGAGAGCACATGACACCACCGCAAAGCCGACACCACGAGGCAAGTAAAATGACAGCCACAGTGTGCGCTTCTGACCCAGACTGTGGGGAATGGGATGTGCAGGATCGGCCGAAAACGCCTTTTGGGAGAAGCTGGCAGCTTGCATAGAACCAGTGGCCCCAGCAGCGATCACACACTCACATAAGGGTCTCTCACTCAGGAAGATGCAAAAGAAAGAAGAGAAAAGGCAGTGTTTAAATTGCTGCCTAGTAACATCTCTAGTGGCAGTCACTCAAATGGCAACTTTTAAAGTGTCTCCTATCTGCATGGAGGCGCAGAATGCTCCCCATATAGATGCATTGATTTAATGCATCTCTATGAGGAGATGCTGATTGGTGCAGCATTTTACCATGCATGCTCAATAGCTCCCAATGCTTTCCTGCAGGAAAGCATTGGATTGGCTGAAATCAGTGACTGACTGACAGACAGACCCAAACACTCACTGACTGACAGACAGAGACCCACACACTCACTGACTGACAGACAGAGATCCACTCACACGCAAAGATTTCTAAGTACACACAGTCAAACACACAGAGACATACACACAATATATACACACAATGTCAGAGATACCCACATAAATTATTTTTTTTAAAAATACATATTTCTAGTCACCCTCTTGTTTCCTACCTTTTGGGTTCAGGAGGGTGGCTTCCCTGGGGTCTAGTAGGACTGGGCAGGTGGTTGCAATAGGGCTAGTTGCGGCTGATAGGAGTGGGCTGCCGCTCTGTTCAGACTCCCCCCCCCCCTCCTGTATCTGTGTTCACCAGGAGGAAGTGAACTTTAATTACTTTCTCCTTGCTCTGAGGCCGCATAGGGGAAGGGACGAGCAGCCGGCTTTCCATAATGGGAGCGGATTGGAGGTGTACTCTGCGGTACAGGGGCGAGCCGGAGGTGTGCTCTGGAGTATAGAGGCGGTCTGGGGGCATGCTCAGTGGAATAGGGTCAGGCAGCAAGCAGAGCAGATTTTACCAGGTGTCCTGCCAGCTTGTGGTTCCCCTGCGTGGCCTCAGCGCCGGAAGGAAGTATTTACAGTTCCCTTCACTTCCTCCCGGCGCACGGGCGGACAGAGAGCTTGCACGGCGTTGCAGGAGAGAAGGAGGAGGGCAAGGGCTGATGAATAAATTCTTAGTCGCCATGGCGATCTGACGCCAGGGATTTGTCGAGCCCTGGCTTAAAGAAAATTGCATTTGCTTTGCTTTCAACCTTTGGGTCAACATACATCTGTGAGCAAATATTTCCCCACATCAAGATCATTTTGAATCCGCATCGAAGATATCCCACAACTGCTCATTCAGAAATCTTAAAGTTACACAGTATGTTCCTGACATAGAGGAACTAAGCAAGGGCATGGATCTCACTAAGTTTGTTCTGTAAAAAAATGTAAACATTTTGTTGTTGTATGTTCTTTGTTATTAAGTTTTTTAAATATTCTCAACAAGTTTAAATGTAATTAGAAATTACATTAAAAAGAAAAAGATAAATGAATACGATTTGTTGTTGTTAAAACTGACCTTTATTTGATATTATCATTAATAAAACATTTAACATTCTTAACCATGCATTCCTCTGACTATATTGCCGGCACACCAAGGGACGTCAAAGTTTTACTTCTGCACACCGCTACCAAAAGGTTGCCAACCCTGCTCTAGATTATAAGCCTGTTTGAGCAGGGACCTCATCAAACGATTGTTCTTGTAAAACTTTGTCATTGTCTCATTTATTGTAGCCTATGGAGTAGCGTAGCTAAGTGGAATGGGCCTTGACAGGGCTACGAAACTTTGTAATTGTGGAGGTCTTAATGTGGGGGTTTGGCTATAGAAAGTCTGGGTGGGGTTTTGGATTATGGGAGTACATATAGCAGCCATTTTAGATCAAGGGCCATCTTAATTAATCCTCACTTACTTGTTTTGTCCCACCATCCCTCCCTTTAAGTAGGTTCTAGATCCCGTTTGGTCAAAGGGGGGAGAGGTGGGGTAGGGTAAACAAGTAGGAGGTGTAGGTTGTTTGTCAAGAACATAGTTTAGTTTGCTAAGAACTGTTAGGTTTGAATAGATTTTGGTTGGTTCAAGCTTGTCGGTAGCTCCAAACCTGGTGTGTGTAGGGTGTATCTTGGTATACCCCTACATGGTGGAAGATGGTAAATCATGCCCTCGGTGGCAATGGTTTAAGTGGTTAGATGTTATTTATGGTAATACATGTTAATATTGTTTGTTTACGGGGGTCATTGTCAGGGTCGAATTGTTAAAAGAGTTGGGGCTGATATGTTATGTTAAATATGTTGACAATGACCTAATAATGGATATGTTTTATTTATTAATAAATAGTGATGTCCCAAACGGTTTGCCGAACGGTTCGCGAATGGTTCGCCACGGACTCATCATTGAGTAAACTTTGACCCTGTACCTCACAGTCAGCAGACACATTCCAGCCAATCAGCAGCAGACCCTCCCTCCCAGACCCTCCCACCTCCTGGACAGCTCACTAAGAATGCAGCTTCACAATGGATGCTGTCCAGGAGGTGGGAGGGTCTGGGAGGGAGGGTCCTGCTGATTGGCTGGAATGTGTCTGCTGACTGTGAGGTACAGAAAAAAGTTTACTCAATGATGAGTCCATGGTGAACCGTTCGGGACATCACTATTAATAAAGCTGTGATAATTTTACCAAACATAACTGTGACGAGACCAATCTCGCCACATTGCATTGGAGAAGCCTGGTTGCTCGCCTGCTGCCTTTGGACTATGGCCCCCTGTTAAAAGACATCTTTTTTACCTGCAGAAAAGTTTAATTCGTGCTTTTCTGCCTGGGGTTCGGTAGATTTGTTTGAGTGTGTTGTTCCCCAGATAGGAATCCCATGGAGCCCATTCGTATAGAGCGGCCTGCTTGGGGCTGACCGGCGTTAACTTTAGTATTAGGTAGTCTGGCCATTAAAATAATGTGCGCTCGGACCTGAGCTATCTGGGGATATGTTACATGTCTGTGTGTTATGTAATAAATGTGACTTTATGTATTTTAAAGTGTTTTGTGTCTCTTTGCAACCATGTGCTTAATGGAGTCTTGTGTCTGTCCTGGGAGATAATTGAATTACTCTCCAGGATAGAAGACTCTGAAACTGGTTTGGGCCAGAAAGCCATGCTTCATTTAGTCACAAAAGGACTTTTTACTAACTTTTGAACCCCTGGTCTGATTCATGCCATTTTTTAATATGTTGTTCCCCTGAATGGATTGATTGTGAATATGTAATTTTATGTGAATGTGATGTATGGTTTAGAGTTATGAAAGTTGGGTAGAAAGTATGTTTTAACTGTATGTATAATTGAGTTTCCTCTCAGGATAAGGGGAGGGAATATGTGGGATGTAACTGTGATGTGATTGGTTGTTTTATACTCCTGGCCAGTGGTCCTGTATTTGCAAGACTGTAATAAAAACCAGGCTGGGTGTGCCAGCACCTCAGACCACTGTGACCCCCAACCCCCGGAGCCTTGTCTGGTTCTTGGGGGATTCATGCTGTTAGAGACTGATTGCCAGGGTATGTAAGCTGATTGTCACTTGCTTTTCCCTGTTAGGTCTGCTAGCTATTTGGGAGGTTCAGTTGGGTTGAGTGCTATTTTGTATCAGTTTGGGAGGGTTTGGTGTTCTGGGTGGCTGTGCTGTATCTCTGGAAGAGGGCCCACGTCGCCTAAACGGTTTTACTTGGCCAATTGCAAAGCGGTCCGTTACAATTGGTAGCCTTGGCCGAGGATGGGTTCTACACGGCAGAAGGACAGCTACAGGCGACACCATTCCGTGGATTTTTACAATTTGAGGGCAACGCATGTCTCAGTACAGCGACCCTGACAGCAACAGAATGGAACCAGCAGTGGAGTACAGATACTCTGTACAGGAATTTGACCGTATGATGTGGTTGCGGCTGAACTTCTACGGGCCTAATCCAGCTGCGAAATCCGTGAAGTTCGTGAGGAGTCTAGTATTCAAGACTCTGCTGTACTGGGCAGAGGGTGACGGTCAGCTGCCACGGTGGGTGGACCTCCACCGGCAGCTACAGTTGCGGGACAGAGAGAGCCCAGTCTCCTCTCCCCAGCGGCAGTGTGATATGCAGGGAATTGGGAGCCCAGTCTCCATTCCCCAGCGGCAGTGTGATATGCAGGGAATTGGGAGCCCAGTCTCCATTCCCCAGTGGCAGTGTGATATGCAGGGAATTGGGAGCCCAGTCTCCATTCCTCAGCGGCAGTGTGATATGCCGGGAATTGGGAGCCCAGTCTCCATTCCCCAGCGGCAGTGTAAAGTGCAGGGAGAGGAGAGCAGCGTCCTCCCTCCCCAGCGGCAGGCTGAGCTACAGGGGGCAGAGGTAGTTGTGCCTGCCCCCCAGCAGCAGCGTGATTTTTGGGGAATTGGGAGCCCAGTCTCCATTCCCCAGCGGCCGAGTGATGTGCCGGGAATTGGGAGCCCAGTCTCCATTCCCCAGAGGGAGATACAGCAGGGAATTGGGAGCCCAGTCTCCATTACCCAGCGGCAGAGTGTCCTACCGGAAATAGAGAGCCCAGTCTCCTTTCCCCAGCAGCAGGACACTGTATTGGGAGCGGAGACAGTTGGTCTCCCTCCACAGAGGATGAAAGTATGTATGGGAGAGGAGCTTGCTACCACCTCTCCCCAGCGGCGGATCATTAATGGGCAGGGAATATAGAGCTCTGTCTCCTTTCCCCAGCGGCAGAGTGTTCTATCGGGAGAGGAGCCTGTTACCCCCTCTCCCCAGCGACAGCTTAGAGTATCCGAAGGGGAGACAGTCGGTCTCCCCCTCCGGCAGCAGAGCTGTGCAACAAAAGGGGAGACAGTCGGTCTCCAGCAGCAGAGCGGTGTATCTAAAGGGGAGACAGTCGGTCTCCAGCAGCAGAGCGGTGTAGTTAAAGGGGAGACAGTCGGTCTCCCCCTCCAACAACCAGGCTTCAACCAGGCTACCCACCCAGTAGCGCTGGCAACAGGGCAGAGTGCCGCTGGTCTCTGCCCACGCAGCAACCCACCAAGGCAGCCTAACAGTTCCCCACACAGCCGTGGTGAGGCACCTGGACATGGACAAGGCTTCTTCTCTACCCAGGTGTAGTAACCATTTATTGTGGGTGGGCTGTGCTGTGGATTATTTGTTGTGGGTGGGCTGCTGGACTAACAAGGGCACTGACCGGCAGGAGGTCAGATACCCTGTTAGTCTGTTTGAAAAAGGGGAGAGATGTGACGAGACCAATCTCGCCACATTGCATTGGAGAAGCCTGGTTGCTCGCCTGCTGCCTTTGGACTATGGCCCCCTGTTAAAAGACATCTTTTTTACCTGCAGAAAAGCTTCATTCGTGCTTTTCTGCCTGGGGTTCGGTAGATTTGTTTGAATGTGTTATACCCCAGATAGGAATCCCATGGAGCCCATTCGTATGAAACTGACTGTAAAGACTTTGGCTCCATGGCGATTAAACTGTATTCGTGGGTCTGAGCGCCATTCGCTTAATAATGTGCGCTCGGACCTGAGCTATCTGGGGATATGTTACATGTCTGTGTGTTATGTGTAAAAGGTGACTTTATGTATTTTAAAGTGTTTTGTGTCTTTTTGCAACCATGTGCTTAATGGAGTCTTGTGTCTGTCCTGGGAGATAATTGAATTATTCTCCAGGATAGAAGACTCTGAAACTGGTTTGGGCCAGAAAGCCATGCTTCATTTAGTCACAAAGGACTTTTTACTAACTTTTGAACCCCTGGTCTGATTCATGCCATTTTTAATATGTTGTTCCCCTGAATGGATTGATTGTGAATATGTAATTTTATGTGAATGTGATGTATGGTTTTAGAGTTATGAAAGTTGGGTAGAAAGTATGTTTTAACTGTATGTGTAATTGAGTTTCCTCTCAGGATAAGGGGAGGGAATATGTGGGATGTAACTGTGATGTGATTGGTTGTTTTATACCTCCCTGTGGGCGGTCCTGTATTTGCAAGACTGTAATAAAAACCAGGCTGGGTGTGCCAGCACCTCAGACCACTGCTTGACCCTCAACACGGAGCCTTGTCTCGTTCTTGGGGGGATTCACTGTATGCTGTTAGAGACTGATTGCCAGGAGTGTAAGCTGATTGTCTGCTTTTCCTGTTCATCTGCTAGCAGCTATTTGGGAGGTTCCAGTTCGGGAGTTGGAGTGCTATTTTGTATCCAGTTTGGGAGTTTGATGTTCTGCAGTAGCTGTGCCTGTATCTCTGGAAAGGGGGCCGATCGCCTAAACGTTTTTTACCCCTTGTGTGCAAAACGGTCCGTTACAATAACGTGTCTGAGTATCCATGGGTTTTGGTGGGGGGGGTTTATACCGCATATGCCGAAAAGGCGACTATGCGTATGTCTTTTTATAATATTGTAAACCGCTGCATAATACGCCGGCTCTATATAAATGCCAATAATAATTATATCTTTAAAAGCTCTAATTAGTTGTAAGGACATAATAACAAGGAAACAAAACATAACCTTGAGCATTTGTCATATTTCTCATTACCGGAACACTTTATAGTATTCCGTGAAAAGATAAGTATCCATTTACACCTGCATAATTCTGTCTCTTTATTCAGTCAGGTTTCACACATTTTTTCTTTCTTTTACGTGACGAGAGATGCTGAACTTGTGTATAAAAGGTTAAGATGCTAATTGGTTAGCAATTTATCCTTAACCTGCAGGAAACACAAAAGAAATATGTTCTTTTGATTTGGTCCTTTTCTTATCTCCTTTTATAATAAAATAAAAACACCCGTGGGATGGCAAAGTGGCTTAAGGCCTAAGGTACTTGTGCAAATGGGGACAGAAAGGTTAATTTGTGGCTGCGAAATGTACAAGCTTTCTCCTTTAAACAAATATTGATTTAAGTCTGGTTGTGTATCTTTCCTGTCAGAGTAATATTTGCATGATATTGTGGGAAAATGGCAAGGGCAATAGCAGGGAGTGAAGAAGAATAGAGGAAATAAATGTAACAAGGTAAAACAGCAAAACTAGATTGTTCTTCACAATTTAATGTCTGATAAAGAAGACAGTATTTATGGAATGCTGAGGAATTCCAGTTAATTGCAGTATTGCAGTTTAATTTACATGGTACCAGTGTACAAAAAAACAAAACAAAATGGCTGGCATTTTAGTGTACAAAAAAAAATGGCTGGCATTTTAGTGTACAAAAAAACAAAAAGCAAAACAAAATGAGGGGCATTCTAGTGTACAACAAAACAAAATGGGGGCATTTTAGACTGCAGACTATCGTGTTGGTATCAGTTTTAATTGCCACACCCGCTGTTTGACTCTGGATGGAATAACGTCTTTGGAATATTGAATCAAATAGAATTAATTTGCCCAATTGCTGTTTGACTGTAGAACCTGAAGATTTTTTTCGCTAAGCACTATATTTGTTTTGAGTTAAAAGCGAATTGAGGGGGGCGGAGCTTGACCGCCGAGCCGTGCAGTCGCATCTGCCACGAGCTCTGATCCGGCGGGCAGAACCCGGGGTAAAAGCGACGGCTAACAAGCCCACAAAAATCAGAGGGTGCACCACCCACGCTGAGGGTGCCCCACTGAGTAATCCGACACCACCCCGGTACCTGTCGACGCTGGGAAAGCGGAGTTCCACATGCGGCCTACTGGGGCTGAAGCAGGGGGGAGGCGGCCGCTCCCCTCGGCGCAAGAACCCGCAAGCTACTACAACTCAGCATACCCCCCCCCCCTATGGACCGGTGGGGGACATCCCGGTCCCCAAAGCATATACAGACCAGCATGGAACAAGACCACACCAACCACACCAAATGGTGGGGCAACAGACCGAAGAGGTACAAACAAAATGGCCGACCAACCTGCGCAGAGCAGGCGGAGCACCTGCACAAGGGCACATATGTCCCCTATGACAATATTTGACCGGACCTGCGCTGGTCTCAGGGCAGCACTGCAAAACCGGGGAGCAACTCACCGCCAGGCTGACCGGAAGGTGGCCTCATGGTTGCGGCCTACAGCGCGACGCAGGCACTACATACCGGTACCCCAAGCATCCAAGATGGCCGTCAGGCAAAACCGATACCGAAAGGCATCGAGAAGGGACACACGCTCTCACCCGCCCACAAGCAAAGCCAAGATCTCCAATCCAACAACGACGCACACTACTAAAATATCTGACCTAAATCCCGGTTACCAGCACAACACCAAGCGCCACCCCTCAACCGATACTGCAACTCAAGTGAAGGGGAAAAGGCACACCACAAAGAGACGGCCTGGAGCTCAACCCCGAAATAGAGCCAACGGGCCCCGCGAATGCAATGACGTGGAGAATAGCAACAGCCGGCTGATCATACCAGCGCTGGGCATAGGATGAAGTGCCTACCACAATGCCTCAAACGGGTGAAGGGAATGCTGGGAGTACACGATCCAGCTAAGCACCCGGACCCTGAAGCATAACTCAAGCCACGAATGGACTAAGCTCATAAGATCTCATGGACTGGTGGTAATAACACTAAAACCTTAGGGGAAAAAAGTTCCTGATAGTCCTATGGACACTGAAAATTGATAAATCAGTTAACACCCAAGCTTAGAAAACGTAAGGATGCTACTTTGAGTACTAGGCTGAACATAGCAATGTGCCACAGGGCAATCATGTCTAGAAAGAATAAAGATATTAGGGTATAATATAGGCAAATGTTAGCAATGTTTTATATTAAGATGCCTCATCACATAAATACCCACAGCATAAAGTTTATATGCACTATGTCATAACTAGATACTGCTCTGCTACAAAACATGCTCACACCATATCGATTCTAGCATAGGCGAACCAGCACAGTTAAGCACCTAGCATCTTTATCTTACTCTTCCTTACTCTATCTCATTTAAACCTACTATGTTGTAACAGTTTAGTTAAGCTTGCAAAACATACAAAAATGTGCAAATTGTCATGCCACTGTTTCTCTTTTATGAAGCTTGAAATACGCTGTTGTGGCGTCCGTTGAAATCTTGTAACCATCTGCACAACCCAAAATAAAGAATAAAAAAATAAAAAAAAAAAAGCGAATTGAGGCATTTAGGCCAAAATAACTAATTTGTTAAAATTCTCCACCACCGTTATAATTCTGGGTTTTAGCTATATCCTAATGCAAGAATCAAATCTACAACTATTTAGTTGATTCTTTGTCAAGCATAGCTCCAGATTATCCCTCTTTTATTAAAAAAAACAAAAACAAAAAAACTCATAAAAACAGCACAGAATTTATTTGAAACATTGGATGCATATCTACCACATAAACATTGGTAAAACTGCTATTTCAGGTTTATATATTTGTTCAGGGATACACAAATTAAAATTATGTAAATTTACACAAATTGCATTTTTCTGTTAATTCTTCATTCTTTATAGACATGTTGGAAGAATATAGTGTTTCTAGAGACTATGCTGTATAACTTATCTTGCAATATTACAGACGAAGTCTGAAATATTTGCATAAAAACAGAAATAACATTTTTGTTGAATATAGTAGGTGTGA